TGACACAGTGCCCCTATTCGTACAGGACCCTTACACCGACGTGTATCTGCTATGACATACAGGATCAAGTCTCTACTTGAAATTGATATGAAATTTCTAAGTCTCTTGAAATTTCTGATCAACAAATTTCCATGAAAGTGTAAGTCTCTTCAACCACTGTTCCATTTTTAAGGAAAAATTTTAGTGGCAAATTTTTCAAAAGAAGAAAAATTCGATGTGGCAATTAAGATTGAGAACCGATCCAGGGGCGTAGAAACCATAATTCGTAGCGTAACCACTCTACCGCGGAGTAGTAACTCGCTACGGTGGAGTTTGATTTTATTCATATATAATAACAACAACCGTAACCCTAATTAGAGGCTAACCGTTTCGAGTCAGTGCTTAAATAGACCTAATCAGTTTAGTCGGAATCCCGTATGAATAGCAAATACAAGACGATGTACGGGTCCGGTACTTAAATAGCCAGTGCTGGAAATGATCCCACTAGGCACATTAACTCTTCTCGGTATCGAAGTGTGTTTTGGTTGAGAGCTAAGATTTTCCCTATTACTCGGGTCCAACCTGGTTGATGAGATTGCTTTGTATGAAGTATTTCGGCGAACCTACACAAGCAATATTAGAGTTTTTTGCCGCATCCGTGGATAGGCTAGTCTGCTACACAGCCGTTTTTAGTGGGAAGGAGCGTTGCGTGACGACACTAAGAACGGCTGTGTATATAAGACTATGAATAGGCCTGCTGCCTTTTTTCAAAGGTTCTCTCACCTGGGAGAACAATGCAGTATTTTCCTCTCACTGCTTTACTCTTCGACAGCGTCGGAATGGTACAATTAACTCTGAAAGGAACCACAATTTAAAGCCTTTAGGGACAGACATCTCCACGATCGTGCCGTGTTTGGTGCTTGAACTGGCGTCCAGACCTCTCCGCTTAGTGACTTACGCGATCACGTGGGGCTTTTGAGCCAATAGAAATGCGTAGAAGATCAGTTTTCTTGGTTCGAATATTTAGGCGGACTTCTGTGCAGTACGACAGTGTTGTGTAAACGGATTGTTTTAGCGATGAATGCATCCGAA